CATTATGCAAAAGTTGAATCAGTTTCTTTTGGTTTGGCTTCCACTAAATGTGTACGTAGTCCTTTGCCTTTAAGAAAAACATCAATCGACCAAGCCCAAAGAATATAATTACTGCCATTATGTTTAACTGAGGTCATCAGAGCATAAAAGAAGGGGGGGGGGGGGGGGCAGTAGAATAGCTTGGTAGTTAGGTTGAAGAAGTTTGTGAAAGAGGTGCTGGAGAATCAGTTTTAGAGTCCATGCCCATAGAAAATAAAGCAGAACTGTAAGCAAGACAGAATTGGAGCAGAACAAGTGTAGGAAGGCCTGAACTAGACTGGCAGAGTGGTCCAGAAGCTAAATCGGGGTTGGTTAAGGTTGGGAAGACCAGAACCGAAGTTGTGTTGGACGGATAGAGGATGAACCGAAACTGTGGGCCTGAACTGGAACGATAAGGTGCTAAACCGGACGAATCAGTCTTTACCGGCCTAAGGACATTGTGTGAACCGTCCGTAGTGGACCGACTGTTGGAGTCATGTTCTGAGCTGGCCCTTCCAGATTGGGCCTGTGTTGACTGGGCCTCGTATGTCTGGAGCCAAACAAGCAAGAGCCCACAAAAAAAACAAAAAAACAAAATTCGACTAGACCCAAAAGAAAGCTCTATCAATATAATGGGAACTGGGATATCCACAAAGAGGATGGCTAAGCTAAGGGCCGAATCCACCCAACAATGGTTGTCTTCTTCACAAGGGACTAAGCCTGTTCACAGTTTGTCATTGGCAACAACTAGATCACCACCACAAAGAGCACAACTCCAAGCATTGATTTGCAAACCAAAGTCCACACCCAGGAAATTGAGACCCAACCGAACTCGATGAATCGTTGATTACAGGCGAGGCGAGCCAATGACACCCACAAATCATCTTTGGCAATGAATGACAAGAACAATGACTGTGACTGGGACACTTAATAACTTGCTAATTGATTTCAACTCAACAATTAGGATCCAAGGACCCTCACATGTACATGCACATGTAGAGAGGGATCTGTGATGAACGGCAGCACAGAGAGGAAAAGAAAAAAAAAAAGGAAGGAGAATTAAAGAGATAGAAAAGAAAGAGAAGGAAGAGCAAGCTTAGAGGCAGAGAATTCAACTTGGCTCTGAGACCATGACAATGAAGAAACTAGGGTTTGGAGAGAGAACAATAGAAAAGGAGGCTGTGAGCAACTCCATATCTCATGTCTCCCTAACTATCTATCTATATATATATATATATATGTATTGCAAAGAAAGAGGAAAGACTTGTATACCCCTTAAGGTATATACTTATTAACAACTAATTGCATTGATACGAAGTTAAAAAGTAAACTTAAGATTAGGGTTTAGGGGAGAGAGAGAGAGAAATAATCTATGTGTAGGCTATGTTGTCATATAGCCTCTTATTTATATTGAACAAATATCTTGGGTAATTACAATGTTACGCTACACTAGTTTATGCTCATAAAAATAAAAATAAGAACTCTAATAGCTTAGATTGTGCTAGGAATTAATGCTTGTAAACTCAAGGCTATTCTTGAGGTCGTATCATATAAAGTTTTACAGCGTTCTTAAAATTGCCTTGGCTAGTGGTCGAGTTTTCAATTAGCATTTAATTTTGGTATGTTACAACATTGCCATTTCATTCTTTCCATAATTTTGTGTCTACTTCTTGCCTTATGTGGCATGAGACTTTATCAGGTTTAGTTGAGATTGTGCTAAGAATTAATTTTCTTAAACCCAAGACCATTCGCAAGCCCATGTGACGTTGTAAGACGGGTTACCTGTTAGGGTCAATTAGAGTTAGGCATGTTTTCGTGGGTGTTTCATTTCTCCGTCACAATGCCACAAATGGTTACTGGTGTCATAAGGTTTCAGACTTACGACTAAGTATCATATAATTATCAATAGCGTATATAAGGACGTGAGCGCCTGCACACACACACACACACACACGCACACGCACGTATATATTATATATGTAAATGTACATATAGGAAGAATCAATGATACACGCACACACAAATATGTAGGAAGAAGTGATGTGACAAAAGGATTCTTAAAAAGTGATGAGTTATTAGTCAAAGTAGCCCATCTTAAGACTCTAATAGATCAGTCAAGTGGAGCAAATGATGATCTCAGTCCGCTGTCCCTTATCCTGTTAATTTCTCCGGCCCCCCAAAATTAATTGATTGATGGTCCCAAGTATCTAGTAGTTGTATAAGAGTATATTGTCTCTGATATACATCAATTCACATACAATGAGTTATCAAGTTGGTCTCTCTTACTTTTTCTTTTATGAACATAATCAAGGACGGTTCTTAATTTCTATTTATTCTAATTTGTCATAGTAGTCCATCTTAAGATGGTAGCAGATCAATCATGTGAAGCAAATGATGATTCAGTCTGCTGTCCCTTCACCGGTCGATATCTCTGAGCCCAAACATCATCTGATTAATGGTCCCCAGTGCCTAGCAGTTTTATAAGAGTACATTGTCCATGATCCTATGTGTCACGAACAATGAGAGTCAAGTTAGTCTCTCTCACCTTTTCTTTTACGAACACAATCATAGACGATTCTTAAATATGAAATCTTTTGAATGTGGCAACCTATTTGGAATGTAGTTTGCGTTTATAAAGAAAAACTAGAAAGAAAATCTTAAAGTATCAAAAACTACTGGAGGATCCAAAATGTTACAATAATGATAGAAGAGCGTAGCAAATTTAGTTGATGGCACATTTATGAAGCCCAAGCCACTGGTGAGATTGACACAACCAATAGCTTGCTTTGAAGCATCTGGCTAGGGTTCCTCCCAAAATTGAACGCATCTCTTTCTATGTTGATGTAAAGAGTGACTTGGGTATCTGAACACTCTAAACGTGATTCTTTTATTATTTCCACCTGTATTGTGTAAAGTTATAGTAAACCCTGATAATAATGTTTCTGGAACTTATTAGCTGAATTAGTCAAGTTAATATGGGAGAAAGAATTGGACATGGTTAATAACTTCAAAGGGCATGAAACCGTTCCTCTGATATGTTTAAGTGAGCTTGCCAAATTGAAACAAATTTCTAGCTATCTAGGAAGCACGAATACTGATATGGGATATGGGTGCGAGATGAGGCAATACAACAAAATATTAAAAAATAGTATATGGATACGTATATCTATCTATCTATCTAATATTTTAGATAGGAAGTTGAATTCTCAACTTATAAAGTATAATGACGGTAAAAATGATCCAATTACATTTACTTTGATCCAATGGTACAAAATTCATCCCAATTTTTTTTCCCCTGCTCAAAAAATATCAACTTTTTTGCACCAACCCCTGTGCCAAAGAAACGCATTAATCCACACCTACCTCATTCTTCTTTTTCCTCTACCTACCTCTGATTTTCTCTATGTTCATTTTAATTTTAAATTGCATGATTCTAGAAAACAATAACTAAATTGTTATTTAAAATATAAATACTGTACGACCAATGTTTGATTTTTGGTATTGCGGAGTGTCTTCAGATACGGGATTGTTGCTAGTATATATATATAGGATGTTATTACAATATTTAGGATGTTAGGAATATGAGGGATTAAGAGATAAAACACGTCCAAACTATAATAATTTTTGTTGCTGACAGAGGGACTGCTTAATGGTGTTTTGAATCCAATATTTTATGCATTTCTGAAACCAAACATGTGTCACTCCTTACTTTCATTTAGCATTTAATTGCAATAGACTTTATTATCTTTTCCATAAGTTATAATAACTCACTAGTTAGGCTAAACAAATTGTAAAGAATTGACAAATTTTGTAACATATGTGATGCACATCCATATAAACATCTTAGAACAAAGAATCCACATTTTTGTGATTGATGTTTCCTATACAACCCACCTCACCAATTATAATGAGAATGTATCTGTCGTGGAGCTACACGTATCTGAGGTATATCTGACAAATATCCAACAATGATAAATATTTGATTAATTATTTGATACGTGTAGAAACTAGAAAGTATATGATACGTATTCGTGAGTATCTGATGTGTATCGGTGTACGTCACTTCGATCGAAGTATCCGTGCTTCATAGCTAGCTATGCATGTTTGAACCACGATGCACCATGCCACATATATGTCATTGGTCAATTTTCGAATGCCAAAGGGTAGAAAGGAAGCTCATACTGTCCAGTGGATACTTAAGAAGAACTCAATGGCTCTAAGAGAACACAAGTCATGAGAGTTTTGCTGTTGATAAAAAGATGTTGAGAAGATCTTATAAACAGGTTGTTGAGAATCTTACATTCAATTTACTACATTTGGAGGTAAATTGATATATGTCTGTAACATGAATTCCATCTTTGCCTGTATCATGTGATACGCGTGATACATAGTATGAACTATTCCGACACGTTTTGATTCTTTTTGATCGTTTTAAGATAAATTTTTTAAAAGATACTATGCAAAATTATCATTGCATTGTCTTAGAAGTAAGTCATGATCGCCAAGAAAAAGCAAAAAGGGTAAAAGGAAAGTAAAGATTTAACCAAGAGAAATATACATTGTTGCTATTTTGTCTTGCTCAATTTTCTACTCTCCACAGGATCTAGAATCTGAGCCATTTGTCCACCGCCCTAAAAGATGAGTAAGGCCTATTGTTACAACTGATCAAAGTATGCCTGAGGATAGACAAACTTTTACTTAAAATTCACTTGTTAAGACGTTGAAATATATATGAAACTTTCCTTGATTCCATAATTTATCAATCAATGAACCTGCAATGAGTTGTATATTTGGAAAATATAAAACTAGATATATTTGGTAGTTATATAAAACTAGTTGTATATCAATCAATGAGCCTGCTGGAATTTTCTTTGTAGTGTGTTACTGAATCCAGGTTTGCATACTTGCTTGCAAAATCATTTCTCACCTGTTTTACTGTGTTTGGTAGTTATTCTTTCATGTATTGTTGCTTTTGCTGCCGCATGTCTATGGTGAGACTGTGAGATAGAGATTCTCGTCATTTAGGTGTCTAGTTGTTATTATGAATAAGTCGTGCGTGTGTTTTAAAATGCTATGAACTGAAGTGGTCACATTTGAAACTGCATCCTGCTAAATCTTAGTGGGTTTCTTTTTCTTATTTGTCCTAAACAGAGTGGTGCAGAAGGGGAGCGGGAGCCGGAGCCAGAGCCAGAGCCAGTACGGGAGTATACTCCAGCAGGACGAGCTCTGAAAGCAAAGTAGTGAGTTCCTACTTCTTTAGAGGTTTTAGGTTGCATTTGGTAATGATGCTGCCATCTTGACAATTTTAAGAATAAAGAATTATTCTCCTCTGGCAGTGATTGGAGATGTGAATAGTTGCTGCCGATATCATAATTAGGTGGATTATGGTTTGTTTTTGTTGTGAATTATTTGAACCTTTTTGGCAATATTGCAAAATTCGAAATACTGGTACTATTGGGCGTGTATCCACTTTAATTTATTAGCTTTTTTGGATTAACGAGTTTACATACACTTCAAAAAACAGCCTAGCATATGATATGGTCAATGATTTCTTTGAAGTCTTGGATGTCAAGCTTACTTCTTGCTTTTGTTTGATAGCTCTAAACTTCGTGCTAGACAAAAAGAACTGCTAGCTCAGAGAAATGCAATTGAAACATCTGGTCGCACAGGGGGACTGTCTTTGCCTGAGTCACTTCGTCAACCTCCTTCATCCAATGCTCAAGATGAAAATCAAATGGCACAAATGGTTCAGCCTATTACAGAAAAGGGTTCGACAAAGGAGTTGGTGGATTACAGATGTGGTGAAACATTGGAAACAATGAAGAGCAAGGTTGGCTCATCCCTAAGGTTGGGCATGATGTCAAAGCGTAAACTTGGTGGTCAACTCGATGTTCCTCTTAAACCTCTTGGCCATCATTCTCTTGACATTTACCTACCAAGTCACCATTTACAGGAGACAAGCCATACAAATCTGGTACCCAACAGCAACTTGTTACCAGTTCTTGGACTGTGTGCTCCTAATGCCAATCAAATAGAATCATCACAGAGGAACTTTCCAAGATCATACAGCCGAAGAAGCAGGCAGGGAGTGGGGCCAGAGTTCCCATTCCATATAGCTCCTTGCTCTGGGACTGCAAATGAGATGGATGTTAAAGGTCATGACACTATCTTAGCCAAGTTTAAACTGCCAGATTTTTCATCTGAGGCTTTGTCACAGCAGCCAAATAATAGCATCCCTGACAATTATCTCCAGTTTAGTCTGGTATATTCTCTCTCTCTCTCTCTCTCTCTCTCTCTCTCTCTGTATGTGTGTGTGCCATATTCATGTTTTGACTTAATTAGCTCCTTACATGTACATTGTTGTAATTTTTGTTTGCAGCATCCTTCAGTTACTTCTCAAGGAAAGGGTCCGATCGCAGGGAAAATTTTAGCACTACTTTCTCTGATTTTCAAGAAAAGATGGCATTGCCCAAATTACCATTTGATGAGAAATTTCTGCCAAGATACCCATTTGCAGCTAGAAATTTGCCCCCTCCACCACCAGACTTGTTTCCAAGCTTGTCACTGGGGTCTAAATTTAAAGATGCAAATGAACCTAGTCAAGACCTTCCTACAATGCCGTTGTTGCCAAATTTGAAACTTCCACAGCAAGATGCATCAAAATATGGCCAGCAAGAGGGGGAAATGCCTCCTCCCATGTTGGGTTTGGGTCAGATGCCAACCACGTTTCCATCAATTCCTGAAAATCATAGGAAGGTTCTTGAGAACATAATGATGAGAACTGGTTCTGGATCAAGCAGCATTTTCAAAAAGAAATCGAAAATGGATATCTGGTCTGAGGATGAACTTGATTTCCTCTGGATTGGGGTTCGTAGATATGGAAAGGGCAATTGGGATGCCATGCTTCGAGACCCAAGGTTGCATTTTTCCAAATTTAAAACTGCAGATGATCTATCGGCAAGGTGGGAGGAGGAGCAACTCAAGGTCTTGGATGGGACAGTTCCAAAACCATGTAAGCCCACGAAATTTGCTAAATCTCCTTTATTTCCAGACATCTCTGACGGGATGATGACACGGGCATTGCATGGAAGTAGATTTGGTGGGCCACTGAAATTTCAAACCCATCTGACAGACATGAAATTGGGTTTTGGTGATCGTCCATCTAGCTTGCCATGTTTAGAACCATCTGATCAACTTGGTTTCCGCAATGAGCGTTTCTCACCGATTCCAAATTGGAATTCTGACAAGTATCAGGCAAATTTTGCTGGAGACTCCTCTGCTGGACCCTCAGAGAGACCTGGGACTTCTTCAAAAATACACATTGAGCAACCATTTCTGTTGAATTCGTTTGGAGGTAATAGCTTGAGTTCTCTTAATTTGAATTGCCCAAGCAGCTTTGATTTACGACAAAAAGAGGACGAACAGTGTGGGAGTAAGTCTGGGAAATTGCCAAGTCATCTTGACGGATCTCTCAATTTTTTGCGGGATTTCCATAATAATATAGGAAGTCGTGGGTTTACCAGTTCTGGATTGCTAACTGATTCTATTAAGGAACAGGATGTTCCCCAACCAAAGGGGAAAATTGAGGTTGCTGGAAATAGTTCTTCAAATAACAAGCTGCCTCATTGGCTTCGGGAAGCTGTAAGTGCTCCTGCAAGACCCTCAGAACCTGATCTACCACCAACTGTCTCGGCAATAGCACAATCAGTTCGCTTGTTATATGGGGAAGAGAACTCCACCATTCCTCCTTTTGTAGTTCCAGGTCCTCCTCCTCCCCAACCAAAGGATCCACGACGGAGTTTGAAAAAAAAGAAGAAACAGAGGTCACATTCACTCAGGCCACTTCCACAAGATATTGCTGGAACCAGCCATAGCTTGCAAAGCAGCCTCCATGGTGACAATGTAGTAGTGTCAACCTCTGTTCCGCTGATCCCATCGTTTCCTTTGCTTCCACAATCAGCAGCTGAAGCTTCAGGAGATCCTCAGATCGAACCCAACCATAGTATGATGAGCCCATCGTCCTCATCCGTGTTTCCAAACCCACATAAAAAAACAAGCTATGGATTGTCCCCCTCGCCGGAAGTGCTGCAATTGGTTGCGTCCTGTGCTGCATCCAGTCCAGTCCCTGGGGTAACAAGTTCAGGCCTCCTTGAAAGCAAGCTACCTCTGCCAAAATCTGTTGATGAAGGAGGATCAGACTCCCAAGACGCATGTGGACAACAGAAGGCCAAGCAGAGCTCGCCTCTTGGTGTGTGGTATCCGCTTCCAGAGGAAAAAGTTGACCTGACAGATAGTGGGGATTCAAGCAAGACTCATTCGGATCCTGCTCGGCCACCACAGCCTGATGTAGAGGAAATATCATCAGAGGGGACAGTGTCGGACCATCGTGCAAGCGACCATGAATGATAGCCTTAAAATGTCAGTTAAATGGAAGGTGGTTATTCTTCTTGCTATTAAAGTTTCAGGCCCTTAGCCTATGTGCTGGAATTTTTGTAGTCATGATGGAGCGAGTGTTTCACTAGCAAGTATAGGATAATTTTGAACACCTATTATGTAAAGCTTTTGGAAGAGAGAATTGAAATATATAGTATCACCCCTATGGTATTGCTGCCTTCTTATCTAACCCAGGCATTTTGGCTTTTGGTTCCTTTTGTTTTTGTTTTTGTTTTTGTTCTCTATAGATGTAGATTTGTTTTTAAAGTATATAAATTGGTTTCCTGCATAATGAGGTCTCTGTTACACTGGAACAAAATGTATGTGTTACACTTACATTACTTCCTTCGGAGTTGAAACAGAGCACTCTGTTTTCAAAGGAACACTTCATTTTAAGACCCAAAAACAGAAGGTACTTCCTCTAAAGATGAGATAAGCGCACTTTAATGCTATTACACAAATGCAAAGGATGAATCTCTCTCTCTCTCTGTAGACGCACACAAGCAATGGCATGAGCGATCACAAGCATTCAACTAATGCAAAATTAAGTCTTGGTTCTTTGTGTCTGCCGAATTTCTCTGTTGAAGGATGTTGCAGGAATTTTGTAGGATGATAGCAATTACCAGAGCAAAGGAGATATGTTGTGTCAATTAAGTCTTGATATTTTTTTTTTTAGAACCTTTCTATCTGCCTCCATAAGATTTTTTAGCGAAAAGTGGCGAAGTGTGATACTTGCATGACACAAATGGATGGAGTAAATTACACATATGACCCTCAAATTATGACCCTTGTATTAATTAAACTTTTGTGTGTGCCAATTGAATTCTTGAACTCTATTATGTCAATTGAGCATTTTTGTTTTTTGTGCCATATAGTCATGTGAGTAACACATTCTAAAAAAGACCGAATGACTCAATTGACATAATTAGAGAGTTTATAGGCTCAATTAACACCAAAAAAAAATAAAAATTTATGGGCTTATTTGACGTAAAAATTATAATTTGGAGGTCATATATATAGTTTATTCTAATTTTTTTTTTAAATAGATCTTCCCCTCCACAAATGCAATGTATTGGGAGACTGGTTCAAGCAAGAACGGGCCACCCCCAGACACAAGACGCTTTTTGGTGGAGATTAGTTTCGTTTAATTAAGAGGTGGTGCTTTGAACAAAGCCTTTCACCTTGGTACATGTATGTCAAAGCTCTAAAGGCTACTTCCCAAGGTGAATAGTAAGTATTACTATGCCATTATTTATTATAAATATGCATAGTGAACTGTACTATTCCAATAACGATTCATATATGTAACACCTACAATGGTTGGGGGGGGGGTACTAGCTCAATTTATTTGTTTATTATTAGTTAGTAATATTACGTGTCATTCTTGTGAGATTATCTACTATACATTCAAGTGGGATTCGTTGCAGATCCATTTTGGAAGGTAAGGCCATGTTCTAATGGGTGCAATTTATCAATTTCAAATTTTATCAGTCTAAATTAAGTTTAATTTTTGAGCGTATTATAGTTAAGCCCCCTTAACTATGGACTTGATTTTATTTTGTTACTTGAACTATTGAATTTTCACATTGTTCCCTCAATTATTTGAATTATTTTATATTAAACTCAATTGCAAATGTTCACTATCTTTTTAGATGAAAATCACCCATCAAGACAAAGTAAAAAAATTTTACTTGGCTACTTTTTGTTAAATTTATAACGGATGCTAAAAATTGAGATAAAATGAAATTAATTACATAAAAAGGTGTAATGAGAAAAATAAGATAATTGAGAGATGATGTGAAAAAAAGTCATAGTTGAGTGTACCAAAAATAATTTTATCAGTTTTTTTTTTACCTTATTAGTTGAACCTACAAAAATTCACGTATGGGACCAAGGAACAAAAGAGCAAAACACGATTTAATCGAAACTGATTAAATTTTCAATTTTCGGTCGTCAACTCCCCATAAGTGCTATGGTATGTGGGGTTGGATAAAATTTAAAAGGTAAATTTTGTGAAAATAATTAAATATACTTTTTAAACCCGTGTTTTGTTCAAAATTTGAGACTCAAAATTCATAGGATAAATGAATCTCGACTCGTAGTGAATAATTGATTAAAACCTATAAATGAGAGTTTGACGAAACTCATGAGCTTCATTTGGTAGCAAGAAAGTGGGGAAAAAGAGAAAATTTTTAAAATTTTCATGTGTTTGGTTGACATGAAATAGAAAATGATAGAAAAAATAATTTTTTTTTATGATTTAATTTTTTCACAACTAATCAACTTTTTTTTTCTCGTAAAAAATACAAGTATGTGCGTGCAGGATCTTGCACAATATAAAAAACGAGAACAGATATCTTCCTTGGTGAACTCGAGTGAGTCAGTTGAGTGATCAATCACGCTGTTTGGGACAGCCTGCGAGGTCCGGTGGTAACCTGGAAAGGTAACGGAAGACCCTCGTGAATTGAAGGAATGCTCCAGTAAGGCTGAGAAAAGATTCCTAGAACAAAGGAGAACAAGTTAGGAGGGCGCCGGAGTGTTTTCCGGCTTATCCCCTCCGACGATCAAGTCAGTTTTTGAAAGGGAGAGGAAAAAGAAAGCACTGGGTATCTTTCGTAGTCAAGAGTTTTTTGTTGCATACCATTTTGCCTTTTATGAGGAGTATTTATACCTTAAAAGCTCATGATTGCTGTCAGTGTTGTCAGTAGATGATCATTAGGTACTGGCAGTGTGCGCACTGATTCTGATGAGAAATGTCTTCCTTTCTTTAACTGCTCGGGGCGCCGAGCAATCAATGCTGTGTCATCGGGCTGTCGACTGTCTAATGATCTCCGCTCGGGGAGGATGCAATAAATGCCCAGCCTTAGAGACATTTATTGCCTTTCAATTCCGAGCCTTACCGCATTGAATGCGGTCTCATCAATGGAATGGTGTAATTAAATGTTTGCTTTCCTAAGTCGCGTGTCAGTAAGGGCATGCGGTCTTCCTGTCTTTGATGTGACACAATTTGCCACGCGTCCATCCCTTATTGGCTGTGGACCATGCCTTCCTGTTCCTTCTGACACCAATTGTGTAAGACGAGACCATGATAGCTAACCTAGACTAGCCTAGGCTAGTGACCTGTACATCAATAACTTATACTGGAGCAGAGAAAAAGACATCTTGGACGGGTACATCTCGGTACCGAGAAAATGCACATCTCGGTACCGAGGATAGGTACATCTCGAGCCGAGGGAAGCCGTACATGATGACCGAGGTACAATACAGACCGAGGTACCACATTAGACCGAGGGATACGTGTCGGTTCGTAAAACGTACTTGACACGTATCAAGCACCTCGGGGCGAGGGATTTATAAGCCGATGGTACGTGATCTCAGTTAACAGGATTTTTAGTGACGCCCGAGGACACGTGTCTTCATCTTGGAGTATTTCAGAAAAGTCCCATCAACTACCCCCCAGCCTTTGATCTTCTGACGCCGAGGACACGCGTCGTAAGGAGACGAAGGGTTTCCCAACAACCTTAACTGCTTCATCATTGCCTCTAGCCGCTTTCCCTTGCTTAGGGAATCGTGCGCATTAAATGCGCCCTGTCGTGTTTCGCGCCCAATGATGAGACCGGTACTATATAAATGGGCTTCCTTCCTCTTTTTCTCATTTCGTCATTCTGAACTTTTCTTCCAGAGAGCCCTTGCCTGAATCTTCGCCGGAGACCTCTTCTCTTCTGTCTCTTAACTGTCCAACCTTTTCACTGAAGCTTCAAAGCAAGCAGACCCATCCTTTGTTTCTGAACATTCTGGGAAGGAATCGATTCAAGTTTTCCAGAAAATACCTCTTCTTACGCTCTGGTGAGTTCCAGTATCCTCCATTTCTTTGCCCTTCTGTCTCTTTTGATTTTCCTGTTACCGGAGGTGTTTTCTGGTTGCCATCCAGCGATCGACCCCCGGGAAGCCTTCTTGGGGATCTTCGTGGAAAAACTCCCTCTATTTTTATCACTTCTTGAACATGCCTCGTCGTCGTTCTGCCCCGAGAATCCTCAGGCTAGTACTTCGAGGCCAGGGAAGTATAAAGTAAAGGTAGTGAACAAATTAATAGATTTAGGGTTAGGTACGGCGTTCCACCGAATGTAGAGGTAGAGGATTATGATGCGGCTGTGCACCCTCGTACCCTCGGTACCGAGGATGCAATGCCTTTTTATATTAAAGCCATTATAGAAGGCGGAATTAGGTTCCCTTTGCCCCCTCTGCTTCTCCAGTTCCTCTCTCATTTCCACCTCTTTCCCGGGCAGTGTTGCCTTAATGTCTTTAGGATAATTATGGGGGTGCTAGAGCTCAATAGGCGTCTTGGGGTAAACGTCGGGCTGGACGATATCCTTTTTTGTTATTCCCTTTTGAGAGTTACGCCTCAACAACACTTCTACCTCAAAGCCAGGGACCCATCTATGTACCTCGTAACTCACCTTCCTGACTCGGACAAGGGGTACAAGGATGACCTACTCATCTTTGGGGGATCTTGGCAGAGAGGTGTCGGTCCCGAGTATGACGGCTTGTTATGTCCATTGGAATGGAGAACGACAAGTACGTCGGTTCCTTCGGGCCTTATTATTTTGTTTCTGAAATTTTCTACATGCTCATGACCCTCTCTCTTCTTTTTGCTTGTGCAGACATCTCCCCTCGGGAAACAGCACCTCCACCCCGATCGTCGGTGAATTTCGCAGACTTAATCACTGTTTGGAGTTTTACTGGCGACGACGGGCTCGGCCGGGCTGCCCACGTCCTCCTGAATTACACCCCTGGGTATAAAAATTTTCGCAGCTTCCCCAGCCTTTCGAGCCTTCTCGGTGGTCTGAACTCTTTGATCGGGCGACGGGGAAAGAAGTCGAGGAGAACTTGGAAGAAGACCCTGATCGGGCCTCGGAGGCTGAAGTTGAGGGTGAAGCTGAAGAGCTCGGGGTTGGAGAGGACTTGGTTCCTTCGCACGCCGAGGTGGGGACTTCGGGGAGAGATTCCTGGCCGGACTTCCAAATCCTACAATCTCTCGACGTCGAGGACGCCCTTGAGGTAGCTATGTCCGGCGCGCCCCGTATTGATTTAGGGTTCCTCAGGCAGAGGCAAGCCCTCGCTGCTGGGAGGGGACGAGGATCGGCCGGTGGGACCCCATCTGCAGGGACCACACCCTCCTCAAGAGTCGTCAGTCGGGGTCAGGTGCGTGACCGAGATCCTCAGATAGAGGAGGAGAGG